GGTGCTTCTGAATGTAAAGAAAAGCAAGTAGCATCCATGGTGCTTCTGAATGTAAAGAAAAGTGAGTAGCATCCATGGTGCATCTGAATGTAAAGAAAAGTGAGTAGCATCCATGGTGCTTCTGAATGTAAAGAAAAGTGGGTAGCATCCATGGTGCTTCTGAATGTAAAGAAAAGTGAGTAGCATACAGGGTCACTGATGAGGAGTGGAATTCTCCGAAACTAGTCTGGCTCACAAACACACACCCCCAATGAAAGAATAGACCATTCCAAGCTTTTACTTGTCCTTAAACAAATGTTTAAACAACTCTATTCAATTATGTACCAGCTGCCCAGTGTCAGTTAACAATACGAAGAATTTAGTTGTGGTGGAATGCTACAAGTTCTTCAAATACCTACAGAAGGATAGTTTTTGTGTGAGTGTAAAACACTTAAATACACCATTTAAATTTCATTTTGTTCCTGGATAACAAATAAGCATTTCTCTAGATTTATGTATACATTTACAAAATTATTTCTCACGTTTATGTTACCTCGAGCTAGCTCGGTGGCTCAGCGGTCAACTAAAGGGGCTTTTATAGCGCTTAAATTCGGAGTTCGATCCCTGCCGCCGGCACACCCCAAAGTAATTCATACAGCAGTTTTGCGCTCAACAACAGACAAATGCTAACTCGAACTTCAATAGCATACGACCCCAAAATTTCTTCTCACGCGTTATAATTATTAATATGTTTAACCAGCAATCATTTGTTTCGTGAATCTTTTTTTTAAGGAATACAAATAAATTATATCTAATAACTGCTTAAAATTTATTACTATTGTATCAACGTCTACTGCATATTTGTAATGAATCAAAAAAAGAGCAATTTGTTTGGCCAGAAAGTGTGCTAATCATCTATCTATAGAAAAGAGGCAACTAAGCGTTTGTGTCAGCAAGTTCTGCTGATATCCAAACCAATCTTTTCTATTGTGCCTAGCTCCGAATATCAGCAGAGGGAAAAAATAAAGAGACTCCAAAAATATTAGCTGGTATATTGTAGTAGTCATATCACTCCAAGACGAAACTGTAAATATCGCTCAATTTTCCCAAGAAAACAGTAGTAACTCTCTTCCTCACTGGGCGATCGATGATGATAACAGCTTGTGTGAATATATATATGTCCTAAAACTTGGGCATATTGCTCTTCAAGTACACAGTTTACACATAGAAAAGAAAATTGAATAGCTTCAGAATGTTCATAAGTTAAAAAAGGAACACGTTTAAAGTGTAAAAAGTTATTTTACAGATATGTTCAGGCGTCAATTAAAAATGTTTCGTATATCGAGGATATAAACACTCCCTTTTTGTATCAATAAATGTAGTTAGGTGTCATCACTAAGTTACATGAAGAGAAACGTAAAAGAATATATGTCGCTACAGTCCGATCACACTCTCATCTGATGACTGTGCCTTGTTGTAAGGTTTTCATGTCCAAAGCACACTTCTCATCACTGCTGCTTTCAATAATCTATCTGTTATAGGAGGAGGACGGTTTCCCAGCGCCCGTTTCAACAGTCTAATAACACAGAAATCTATAGGTGCTGCATCTGACAACTCGACCCGCGTGCTTTCGTGTAATAGCATGATTACGCGTTTTATTCTACAACTTGTTGTCGTTTGGTTGAACAAATGTGTCGTATAAGCAATATATATACACGTGATTTGTATCATTGGTTGGAGTGCTGTTGAAACGATCACTGGGAAACTGTCGACCTCGTACAATAAATGGATTATGGAAAGTCAGCAGGGAACAGTGGTGTGCTTTTGACAAGACACCCTTACAACAGAGCCTTTTGTAATGGAAACTACACTGCAGGGCTATTGTCAAGATGCACAGTCGTCAGATAAAGCATGAACAGACGTGGTAATAACACGGTGAAGCCCCAAAATCATTTTAATGCAATATACTCAGCCTCTTTCGAACGAAAACTTTATTGCTTTTTTTTTTTCATAGTTCACATGTGTGCACATCTTGAAGAAATTGAAATGAAATAATAATGGCGTTATGAAAAATATTCGATTTCACCAGAGGCGCGTGACTTACATTCTACTTCATGTAAAGAAGGTTAGGTTCATAGTTTTTCATTTGTGATTTTCAAATATATAGTGACAAATTCCCGTCAATTTCTCAAGAGGAGGACAAGATTCTATACGAAACTCGTCTTTTGATCTTAAACAAAAAAATATGAAATGAAAGGAATTATCTCGGAAGTTTAAATCAGACAGAAAGAAT